CGCAGGATGCTGTAGGCTCAGTTGCTGCCAGCTGGTTCGTTTTGCAAGCCCTAATAACCACCACAAGTAATGCACACCAGTGTTAGAACAGCAGAGAAGTATGATCTGTCCAGAGGTGGCCAAGCTGGTGCTCTTGAAGTCCATAGGCAGTTCAAGTATGACTTAGAAAAGCCACTCCTGATCAGCAGTGTGGGCTGTCCTGGGACTCTCAGAGAAGCCAAAAGCAGAGCCATTTCCCTGGCAATGACATGCTCAAAGGGTAAAAATGGCAGCTGAGCAAAATCCTTCAAGCAGAATAGGTGTTTCTTCAAGGTCAACAAGCAGAAGTGCAATGCAAAGAATGGGCACTGCTCGGCACAGATCCGTCATGTCTGAGCACTCCCACATTGCAGGGAAAGGCGTGGTTGTATTCCTGGGGTACATTTAGGGATGTCAACAGCTTGGGTAGGCATGGCAAGGGCTGCTAACTTCCATCCTGTATTCATCCCAAAGCCAGCCTCTCCTCCAGACCATACTTCACCTACTTAAAACATCTCTTCAGCCTAATGCCAGACGTGTTCAGCGGTTGTTGAACAAATCAGGTAGTTCAATACTGCTCGATACAGCAGTGTTTTCTGTCCCTGAGCTATCTTCTCTTTAGTTAATGACAGTGATTAATCACTATCACAGTTGGTGCATCCCAAGAGACGTCCCTGGCTTTTAATTATTGTCGTGTTTACGGAAGGGTAAACTGAGTCCTTAGCCTGAAAAATGGCTTGGGCAGAAAGCCACTTGGGAATTCACTGGGAAATGTGGGAATGGGTACAGATCCACCACAGCCTTCAGTCGCCAGCTCTAATCCGCTTTGCCATCAACAAAAAACATAATTAAAGACATGATCTTTTTTTTTTTTTTTTTTTTTTTTTCATATCTACAGGTGCTTTTTCACTCATTGCCTGGTAGGTGCACAAAAAACACAAGAGAGAAATAAGCCCTCTGACGTTTTGTTTGCACTGAAGTTAGACAGCTAAAGACACATGCACAAAGCCACAACACTTCACGCAGTGCCTATGAACCGAGAAACTCATGCCAGCGGTTGCAATCTCAGCCACGTGTGCCATCTGCCTTCTCCTCAGAAGGGACAGAGGTGCCAGGGATGCGGGAGGGAGCAGGAGAAGACAAGATTATGCTTTCCTTTGTGTCTTACCCCTGTGAGGCTGGAAAAGGAGAAAATGAGACACCTCAGTCCCTCTGAAAGGGTCGTGCTGGGAACGTCTTTGTCCTCAGATCATCCATGTCACATCTACTGAGGAAGAATTGGGGGAGAGAGGTCTGGGATCATCACGCTGAACAGGGGTTGGATTTCTACACCAGTAGTTATCTGTGACCTGGGACAGATGCTCTTCCAACTCTCCTTCTCTGAGGTGGAGCCACACAACTCTTACGTACTTGGAGCCCTCCCCGCTTCTCATCCGCAACCAGCTCTTTGCGCCAAAGTTGCACCAACACCATCATCTTCAAAACTTCCATCTCTCTGCTCAAACTTGCATGCAAACAGCCAGCTGGGATGGGGCAGGCAGGGAAACACACATACACACACACACACACACACACACACACAGAGCCCTTAATTTCTGCAGAACTAAGCCAAAATTATTCTGGTATATTGGCTTTTAGATTGCTGCCTTCAGCGCTCATGGGAGGTGCTTTTGTTCTCATCTCCTTAGCGAAATGTGCAATCAAGACCTGACTACTTCTTCTCTGTCTCCTTGAATCCTCTTATGGATGTTTCCCTGGGTGTCTAAGCATTTCCATAGCCTGCTTCTCTTCTGGTATTTGCTGTTAAAGGTGTAGTGCTGAGAAGAAAATCTGTATTTTGGTGCACTGCTTTGCATCACAATGCTCTGTACAGCAGCCTCGTGTTTTATGTCGGCCAGCTTTGCTCATTGAGCAAAGGATATTGAAAGAAACGTATTTCTTTTGCCCATACTGCTTGACATGTGTGGATATGAGAGAGGGGTAGAGAGGGAAGGGGTAATAAGAAATGAGCTACAAATTAAGACAAAAAGTGAACATCCCAAACTACTGCTTGGAGCATAAAAATTGAGGCAGTTCAGTTTGGAAACTTTTCACTTAGATGATCTAAGCTTAAAAATCTGGAAAACAGTAACGTAGGAAACATAGCACAGCAATGTTGTAAAGCTTAAAAAAAAAAAAGAATGGGGTCGCATCAAAATGTTAATGACAAAGCTGATATATTGCATTTCGATTTTGTGTGACTCCAACAGAGTCCCACCAAATCCATAATCAAAAGTGACGTGATCTCTCAAAACCCAAATACCTCGAAAACAAAATGAAACATCAACACGTTTTCATCTCACAGCATAGAAATATTAAACAAACGTTTCCTTTCTCACCCTGAATATTGAATAGTGTATGTAGTAGCAAAGACAGATTTACTTTAAAGGGTTTTATGATGTTTTAAATAAGGAGGAAAAACTCTTTTTCCTGTTTATCACTTTGCAGCTACACAGCTGGTCTTAATTTGCAGAACTGATGCTTCCAAATAGCAAACTGAGCCACTTTCATGATCTCATTTTGCAAGAAGGGAAACTGAGGCACGAAGCACAAGCTTTCTTTCCCCAAGGCCACTGAGTAAATGAGCAGCAGGGTGGATCAAAGCTCATCGCAGCAGTGCCCTGCTGTAACCACTAAGTAGCATCGTCTTCATTTAACACAGACCATTATCAGTTTGCAAATGCTACTGATGGAAGAGACCTACTCAGTCCTTTTGCAGTTCCCTGTAAGAGCAGGCTTTTTTTCCGTACCGTGTGCTGTAGAGAAGAGTGCTTTATACAGTCCCTACATTAAAATAATTCAAGCAGGAGGACATCTCTCATTTCCTTTGGGAGAAACAATTCTGTAGCCGAATATATTGCAGCACTAGGAAATATTTCCTGATGTCCAGCCCCTGCCACAGCTTCTAGAATCTGTTGATATATTATTAATAGAAAGGAAAATAAATATAGGTATTAATGCCAGCAGATGCTGTCTACTACTAATAGCTGCTAAAGTAATATATTCCCCTTGTTTTTAGCTTTTATTACTCTTTTTGCAGAGGGTTACAAGACCCTTATGCATCCATTAGCCAGTCAGCCATGTGAAATTAATGTGGAGCAATTTTCATAAGCATTACTCAGAACTAATAATAATTAAGCATTATTTTCTGCTCAGATAACACAGAAAATAAAGTCTGACTTTTATGCCAAGATGGGTTTGCATTAGCTTAAGGTAGATGAATTAATTCTCATTTACAAGGCTTCTCCACCAGCTAGCCAGAAAATATCAAGGTAATTAAAACCAATTTGTGAGGTTCTGTCCCATTGCACATTCACTGAGTTTTATCATTGCTGCAAATTACAGGTGCTTTTATGCCGTTGCAAAGGTGGGACATGAAGGAGACCTTGCTGCTTGCCTCCTTCCCCATCACTTCTCAGAAAAGCAAACTCCTTGTGAAGGCCAGAACACATTGTGCAGCGCACCTTGTTGCTGGAGAAGCAATGAAGGACGATGCGTTGCATGAAGGACCAGATCAGTCCCAGCTCAGGCTGGGATGTGGACCACTCAGGAACGCATTTAAAAGACCTCTAAGAGAGAAAAAAATAAATGCTATTTCTTTTTGATTTATCATTTAATCGGAAGGGATTCATTTTAGCTAATTACAAAGCCAAGGGGTTTCTGTAGACAGCATTTTATAGATAGCTCAGAAACAGTTCTCTTCAGCCAAACAGATTTTTCTCTGTTGCTTTTACCAACCAAACCCCAACATTTTCAATCCAGGTAAATAAGACTGATCAGTTATATGATGCTACATCTTCCAACACTGCCCAAAAGATTTGTTGCCCTTTTTCTAGTTTGAGGGTCTACTGAATATGTAGTCATGTCCCAGCAGCTTGACCTGTGGTTCCTGAAGATGCTCTTAGCTTGAGCCAGCTGCCATACAGAAGATACATTACTCCAGCTAATAATTAGCTATAAGATACATTAAACCAGAGCTATCCTCCCAACAGCTAAGCTAATACACAACTGAGTAAGCCAAGAGCTTTCTTAGGCTTTCATCTTTCCAAGGGGAGCAGCTGCTTCAGACGTCACATCTTGATTCTGCATGTGTCACGTCCCGCTCCAGCGAGGGGGACAAGTGACTCAGATTCGCAAATCCCCAATTGGAGCGGACAACAAGTCTCCAAGTTCAAGCATTTATTAACTACCTACAATGCACTAATTGAACACATGATAATTGGCTAAGTACAGAGCAAGCGGTGACAAGCAATACAATATGGTTTGCATTTCTTAATAGAAAAAGGAAAAGAGGGAGATAGAGGGAATGGGGGAGTACAGATCACCGGTCTGGGTTCCTGCGCTGCTCCTGCCGGCGAGGATTCCAGGAGGCAGCTATCTTCTTCGCTGGCATCCGTCGTCTTTGCTTCACTGCTCTCTCCAGACGGCCGGGGGCGGGGGCAGGGAAAGGGGCAGAGAGAGAGAGAGAGAGAGAGAGAGAGAGCCCTTTCTTCTCCCCTTTGATTTATACCCACTTTCCTTGGGTCCGACCCCTAGGTCAACCCACAGACCTACGTATCCCATGTACAGGGAGGGGTAAGGTGTTTCATGGGATGATGTCACTAGCATGATCAGGACAGCCCTCGTTAGCATATTGAGGGGTGTCAACTTTAATATGCATTTCGTGGATAATGAAGCAAAGTTCGTTCACCGGACACATGGCCTGTGAAATTTGCCCAGGTGCCCCAGGGCAGAGCCGTCCCATCTCCACAGGGCTCTCTCCCCCAGATACATCGGGCAGCCTTATCAGCTTTGGCCTCCACAGAAAGCACCCTGGGACTCATGGTTTTGTCTTGGGAGTGTTTGAGGCAAATCTTCAATCAGCCTCAACTTTTGCTTTCCCAGGCTGTTTGTCTTAGTTTTTCACAGGCCTGGTTGCTCGGCTCTCACAGCATGCGAGCTTAGCATAAACTGGGCCTGATGTTACACACTAGTTTGGAAAACCTGTGTTTTTCAAAGGATTATAGCCTCTTTTGTCTGTGTCCTGGCTCTCTCTTTTCATCTCTCCATCCTCTCCATCATTCCTCTGTCTCATTGTGGCATCTTATTTTGGCATCTGTGTCCACATCAGTGAGATGGAGTAGGTTGACCTGAGAGAGGATTACATGGGCCGGCAGCAAAAGAAGGATGAGACGGTAGTTCTTTTATTATGTTTTGAAAAAAATATTCTCTAGAGTAATCTAATTGCTGTTAAAGAGATAAATAACAAGAGATAATACTCAAAAAATATCATCTGTGCCTCATTCCTGGAAAGAACCATCTCAGGATTTTCAAGTTTATCAATTCCTTCAGGGAAGAAAGGTTTCCCCCTTAAGGCTGTCTCAGTCTCTATCCAGTCACGGTAGCTGTAAACAGAGAGTAAGACCTCATGGTTTGGCTTTTCTGCACAATCTTCTCCCCAGCTGACAATGCCAACTTGAAACCATCTCATGGTGTTCCAGTAGCTGCAAACCAGTGGTCCACCGCTGTCTACCTAAGGCGTAAGGAGGATGTTAGAGCAGGATCAGATCTCAGGTCTCTCACAGCAGCTGCATCCTACAGGCTGATGAGGAAAACAAAGTCTGTCTTGAGTTTGTGAGGATTTGGGGAAACAGGAATTTTGGGCACAAAATTTCACAGCTCAGCCCTGAGATCCCTGCAGGATAAATAGATACAGGAGGCAAGATGTGGAGACCAGTCACGAGTTCTGGCTCAGTGCAATGCTCTGTCCTCTCAGCCTTTTCCACATGCTCCAGTGGTCCCAGATATTCCAATCCTGTCACCAAGGCACAACATCCGAGAGTGAAAAGGGACATTCACTGTGACTGACCATCCGGTCCTTGACCTCTCTGTAAAACTTGTGCATGTAGGTGCTGGGTACCTGCCACTGTTAATTTTGGGATGAGCATTCAGAAACTGGACAAGAGATGAACGCTAATCCTGAGAAACCCTTCTTGCAGCTACGTAATTTTACAGAAAACATGCCTGCTACTGCAAGGACACCCCTCACTCACCCAGTGTGTGAAAGCCTTCGAACACATGTCACAGCCACCCTGCAAAGACGAGTGCCTTCCTGTTGGCTGCTGTAGCTTGAACACCAAGAGCACATCCAGTCCCCCATATGATCTCTGTGTGAGGTCTCCAAACACAGCCCGAGGGAAAAGAGAAACCAGCACAAAGTGCTCACAGCCAGGTACAGCACTTTTCTGACAGTTATGTGCATCTTCAGCGCTGTGCAGCTTCTGCTCTGGGTAAGTTTCCTTCCATGGTGGGTTTGAATCTTTTTTCCTACCCTCTATCTCCAGTACAGGTGGCAAATAAATTCAGCACAAATCCATTTCCCCAGACAGCCAGCTTTCCTGGGAAATGTTGTCCTTTCCTCTTTGCACACTAACTTTGAGAAACGTCTTTGTCATTAATGTATGAACCCCCCTCTGCCAGCAGCCATCCCGAGCTAACACACATTAATTAAAGAGTAAGGAAGAGGCTGTAATCCCCATGAAACTCATCAGCACCTGATAAATTTTATGGCTAAGTTCCTCCTCACTTCACTAGATGGAGGGCCCAGGGCATTAATAAGTTTATCTTTTTAATTATTTTTTTTTCCTATTTTTCTTTGTGGTTTAACATGCACACAGGAGGGAAAATGAAGATAAATACAGAGCGAATGTTGCTTCGGAATTCAGAGAATCATAGAATCACAGAATCACTTAGGTTGGAAAATCCCTTTAAGGTCATGGAGCCCAACTGTAAATTCAATACTGTTTGGGCTGCAGTGGTGTTTGTGTAGGTACATGTCTGCATCTCAGCCAGAGCTGCTGGACCATCTTCAGACTTGGGATCTACACATATTTCCCAACCCTGTTTCAGCCAAGAATTTGAATGAATCACACAAGTGACCTTGCAGTGACCTTGGATCCATGCGCTATCAGTGTCCTTGGCGGTGGCATCCTGCTTGAATGAATGAACATCTCCTAGGCTGAGGCACAATCAAATTACTGGGAATTTTACTGCTAATTCCCTCAGGGCAGGAACAGGCCAAACTTATTATCCTGGTAGGGAAAGGAAGGCGCTTCAAGCCTCCTACATAAAGATAATAAATGAAGTCGAGGGAGTGGGAGCTGTTCGCAAGGCAGTGACACAGCGACAGCTGACAATCCCTCACTGGTGATATGTCGGGATGCTTCGTGCCAGCTTTTCCCAGTACAGGAGAGTTTTAGCGCTGGTAGAGCCCCTGCACGCCGTTCCGTGCAGATGGGTTTCAGTGTCCAATTTGGAGGCTGTTCACACTTTGCAAAGAATCTTTCCCCCAGGGCGCTTAAATACCAGTTAATTACTGATACCTTGTGACTCTCCTTGGGGGGAAAAAAAGTCTGATCATATTTCATAGCTGAGAAAGCCACAGCAGAAAAGGGATGCAATTTGCATGAGGCAATGGCAGATCCAGGAATCCCTTTTTAAACTCTACATCATGTGATTTTTCCCTTTCAAATCGGATCTGCTTTTCCCTGTTTGCCTCTTTAACCATGTTAATTTTGTTCTCTGCCCGTTTGGCATGGAAAGGGAGAGCTGTCTGCAGGGCTTGGGGGACTGTCAGCTGTGGAAAGTGATTTAAAACCTGGGCAGAGAGGGAGTTCAGCAACACTGTGAAAACCCAGGCAACAGCTGCAAATCCATTTCTCTAATCCACAAACCCTGAGACCCAAATCCTGCTTCAGATCCCTTTCCACATGGGCTGAGCTGGTCTGCTTCATGGGTGCAACTTCTACTACGCTATTTCTCTTAACTCCAGCTAGTTAACTCGATGATTTTATCACAAAGTGGGCTAAGTCATCCTCTCCATGTGATAATCCCGCTCACATAATTATAGCGTTGGCCCAGATGTATCAGTAGCCTGGTTTTTATACGGGTGAAGATAGAGAAAATAAACTCAGTTCTTGGGCACTTCTGAATATCCCTGTATTGTCTTTAAGCTCTCAGAAATGTTGGCCCAAGGTTTGCCGTCCTTGTGTAGGAGGGGGTGTGGGAGGAGCAAGTTTTGAGGCTGGTACAATTATCTCAGCTCTGTGATGTTTCCAGTAGCACTAATTTAATGAATGCTCAGGTTAACAACTCTGAAGATCGAAGAACTTATTAAATGCTGCTTTCAGCTTTCAGTCTCTTGTCTCCTGGTGGTGAAATACTTCTGGTCAGCAACACACACCAGATACCTGTCCTGCTCTTCAGTCCGAGTGCCAAGTTTCTGGACAGAAAAAAAAAACCAACAAACCAACCAACCCACACCTAAAAATAGCATCTTTGCTTCTGTTGGATGCTTCTTGTCAGCTGGAGGATGAGCGAAAAGCGACTACATCAAACCAGATCTGGTGCTGAACTCAAGCCTTCCACAACTGCATGTTAATCCTCCCAATAGCAAGGGTGAGAGCAACCATAAAATCAAGTTCTGGCTTGTATAAAAACTGTCATTGACTAACAAGGTGGGTTTTTTTTTTTTTTTCACTGAAGTTGATCAAAAGTTTCATCTTTTTTCACCGTTGCAAAAGGCTTTTTGTAAACATCAGGAGCCTTTCTGCTGACTTCAGTGGGCTTTGGATCAAGGGTGTAATCTTCCTTTTGTATTTGTATTCATGTCTGCAACACGGTAATTGATCGGAACAAACACGTTCAGCCACATAAATCTTAGGTGGGAGAAGCGCTGGGGGAGGGAGAACAGCCCATCTGATACTCATTAGGTGGAGACACAATCCTTGTAAGTCACTGCTGGTTTCATTTTCATGTTGGTAAGCTCTGTGTAAATTGAAGAGAATCAGCACGTGAATAACAACACTTGCCATTTACAGCTGCCCTGGCTGCTGGAAGTAAAGGCATTTGCAGACAGATTTCTTCAGTTATTTCAGCGTGAACAAGCTATCTTCAGACAAAGGTGGAAGGAAGGAGGTTATGGCCATTTTTAGTGTGAAGATATGAAAAATGAACCACAGGGTAACACAGGGCAGCTGGGCTCTTTTCCCGGGATCCCTCTGAGATCTCAGGTGAGAGCCTTCAGCTACTCGTTCCCTCCATCCCCTTGATGGAAAATGCAAGAGCAAGACTGCCCAACTCCATCCACGCTGATGTCGGCAGGATCCATTAGTAATGATGGTGGCACAGACCTAAAGGCAGTTATAATGCATCTGGCCAAAGACCCATGTGGCCCAGACTCCTGTCTCTGACAGTCAGCTGTAGCAAGTGCTCAGGGAAAGGAGAATGAGAAACAGGGCAAGTATTTACAGAGTTGTATTTACATCACAGTGGTTAATAGCCTCAGAGAGATCTTCATCCAGGAAGTTATCTAATTGCTTTTTGAATCCATTTATCCCTTAGGATAAATACCCACAACATCCTGGTCGGTGACTTCCATAGTTTAATTATCTGTTGGATGAAAAAAACACTTCCTTCTCTTTGTTGTAAATCTGCTGCCCGATACGGCCATCTGTCACCCCTTCCTTCGTGTGTTTTGAATAGTAGTGACAAGAGGACAGCTCTTGACTGCCGTCTCCTTGTTGCTCATGACTTCAGAAATCTGTGTCGTATCCCTCCATGAGACATCTTTTACACACCTCAGAGTCCTGCTCTGCTATTCCCCTTTCCACCAGAAGCCATTCTGTGTCCCTGTTCATCTTTCCCATTCTACTCATCTCCTTTTCTAACACTACAACTTCTTCCTCAGGTGGGCTGGACAGGAATCCCACAGAGCGCACAAGACGTAGGCTCCCAAGATTAGTGCCCTGGCACAACATGCATTAGCTTTGCTACCTATTCCTTTCCTAATAATTCATAATGTTCCTGTTGCCTTTTTGACCTCCAAAGAACATCGTGCTGATGTTTTTGAAGGACTACACAGGTTACTCCAAGATCTTCTTACATGGTAATAGCTAATTGAGAGCCCATTACTGCATGTGTACAGCTGGAGTTGCTTCTCCCTACATTCATTACTTTTCCTTTATCAAGTGAACTGCGTCTGCAGTTTTAACCTCCAGTCACTCAGAATAATGAGATCCTCCTGCACCTCTGCACAGCCAGTTTTACTTTTGACCACTCTGAATAATACTGTGGCATCAGCCAACTTGGCTGGTTGGGCATTTGCCCTCCTTGAACATCACAATTCCTTGCGCAGATACCAAAACAATTACCCCTGAAAGCCCTTTCTCTGGTCAAATCCTTCCTCCATGCTGCCTCCCTTTCAAACTGAAGCCCTTCTACTTCATGACAGTTCAGTTTGTCCATGACATCTTTGGTGAGAAATCTCATTAAAAGAGTTTTGGAAATCTCAGTGCATTATACCAGCTGGATCACCCTCTGCCACATGCTTGTTGGCTCCTTCAAAGAATTTAAATCTGCCTGTGAGTCATGACTTTCCCTTAAAGCCGTGTTGACTCACGGTAATTGAAGAAGTGGCTCCTCTGAGTCATCACACCCATTCCCCAGCTCCGAGGGCAAGAACATGTTAGGGGT